GGGGTGGGGGTGGGGGGGTGCAGCACAACTGAACCCTAAGTGCTCAAATGGCACTGCAATGAATTTGGGATATATTACAGTAGACATTGCTTAATGGGGTCCCCTCCCTTCTTCTGTTGGACTTAACATTTCAAAACATTCCTGTATGCTTCTGAGGACCCCAGCTTCTGGGACTTCCAGCTTTACAAAAAAGAATGTATTTAATTTAATGATTAATCAGGATCATGAATTTCCATGTTTCATTTTTTTTAATAATGAAAATCCATAAGAGTTTAAATAGTCTTAGACGCACCTAGTTTGGCAAACACCATGGACCTTGACGTATCTGTGGATTCGCACATAAGCTAGCCAGCACCTCAGTGCTGGGTGGCCCCCTTTGGCACCAGAACACAATAATTTATTAAGCTTCAATACTTAATAAGTGTGCACAAATATCATGCAAACATATGACCGTTATCACAAACAAAAAGTGTATTAGAGTCGCGGACTTATACAAAACATCTTGTAAACAAAAGGTAAGAGGTTGGTATTTTTCTGTACAAAATACGCAGGTTTTTCTTTTTTTAGTAATCTGTAAGATGCATCATACTTCTGGCATTTTCAAAAAGTGAAAACTGTATAAAAATAAATATTCTATGTACAAAAACACACACAGGCCAATCCCAGCTTAGAGGCATCACTGCAAAACAAAAACAAACACAAAACAACGTAGAGTTAGTGTCATGGGGTCTCTGGGTGTTTATTTCCCTGGTAGGAAAGGTGGTATATCTTGTCCTAAATTGGATAGGGAACTGGGTTTGAAAACCCTGGCGCTGAAAGTCCTCACCTTGAGGGTGGGAAAACACTTTCACCTTTTGGTCACTCCCCTTTCTGGCCACTAGAGGGCACTTTCTGTCTATGCTGCCTTTCTCCAAAGGCTGCCTTTCTCCAAAGACGCAGCTGTTGAATTACTGTCTTTTCCCAGATTGAATTTATGGTGTGAACCAACAGACACAAGGCTCTCTAGTTGCTTCTCCAAGACACTGTAGCTCTTGATAATGGCTGTTCTTCCTCTGCTGAGTGCAACTATCTGTAGCTCCTAACCATCAGCAGTGACCTTAAAGAAGAAACTTTTGTTCCTAGTGGGCAAGGAGTCCCTCACTTTGACACAATTCTTACTGCTGCTATGGTGCTTTAACTAGGTCTAGGGGAACTTGTCAGAGGACGAGGCATGGCTTAGAGAGACAGATTCTTGAGGAGATATCTCCCTAGAGTACTGAGCCTTCCTTCCTCTGGTTCAGGATGCTTTAGGTGCCTGGGTGAAGAGGGGCTTCATCTAGGGCCTGGGGTCTTGGTCTACTTTTACCCAATCCCACAAACTAATGAGATTCCGGGCACTTAGCACAGAGGAGCGTATTCATCTCATTGCAGGTGTGACTCTGCTGTTACTGGGACAGAGCTGGATTATGGAAACAAACCGGCCCCTCTTCCCATTGGCTAAGGTTACATGGAGTTACATTGGAATCTCCAGCCCTATTATGGGGATGAACCAACCCCTTGAGACCACGTGATAGAGGGCTGTGAGAAGTCTTGGATGAGGAGGCAAGGTGGGGGCGGGCCATGGTGGGACAGCATGGCCGCTGCTACCTTTGCAGGGGATCACGCTGGGCTTCTGGGTTAGCAATGACCCTGGTCAGGGTGGGGAGCCCTGTGCTTTGGGGTGATTGCATGCAAGGGCCCTGTGATGTCTGATGGCTTTAATGATGGCAAATACCAAGGCAAGTGTAAATAAATGAAAACTCATTGTGGGTCAGAATTCTGGGCTACAGATTTCATGTGCAGAAGCATGAAGCTCTGACAGCTTATGTTAAAGGGAAGGGTCGAGTGGTTAGTTGGCCAGTCTCTCTGCAGAGGGATAGAAGCCATGTGAGTTTATAGTGGAAGCAACTTAGATTTCCTATGTCTGGTTTAATGTCATCGTATGGCTTAAAAGACCTCAGATGAACACTATGAGAATAGCTAATGATAATGAATTTTAAAACAAGGTCTAGAGCTCCTTGGAGGAAAGGTGCTATATAAATTAACCACACAGGCATAAAAATACCATCTGTGTGGCTACATGGAAATCCCATACACTGGGTTTTGCCAATGCCTTTAAAAAGCGTTTTTGAAATGTTCTCCAGGTGCGAGCAGTGCATGGGATGTTTAATGGGCACCCTGCCTTTGGGATTGTTCCTTTTTCAACAGACATCTTGCTGCCTCATTTGCAAAAAGGCCCCGGATGGAAATTGTGCATGCTTATCACAGTACTGAGAATGGAGCCCTAAGTACACCTGTGGCCTCTAGGCACCACAAACTACTGGGAAGCCTTACCTTATTCCAGCAGCCCTGGACTGGTAAGCCATCTTCACCCTGCAGTGAGGAAGACACATATCTCAGATTCTCTAGGACAGCTCAGCAAGCAGGCAGGGCAGGGGAACAAGGGCCACAAACGTTGTGGCAGCTGATCAGGACACGCCCCCCCCCCTGCCATTATCTATTTCTTTTCTTTCTCCCAGGTCAGAACCTTGGAAGGAGGCAGGGAGCACATCCATCTGTCTTCCCATTGGCTAAGGTCACATGTAGTTATAGTGCAAAGCTGAGAGGGGCTGTCCTAGCCTGTGGGGTCAGGGACCAGAGGCGACCTGATAGCTGTGAAAAGTGCTGGGTGCTCATGGCCCAGTCACTCAGTGCTTGGCGGCCTCAATTTCCTTCTCCATAAAACCTGGGGAAGGCATGGCTGTATGAAATGTCCACGAAGGTGCCCCCCACTTCTCCCATTCTTTTATTTTTTCTTAGCAGTGGGAGGAGATCTAGGCAGTTCCCATCTGATGATCAATAAGGAGGGGTGGGGGGTGCAAAGGGACAGGCTACTTAATGGGCATTGCAACATGGCCCCAAGGTGACAAGAGCTTGCTGGGAATTTTTGGGGAAGATTCAGCAGCAGTGGGAATCCACTGTGTGCCACTGTCTCCTTTGCTGGTGGCACCCATGGGGCACCTGCAGCCTCAGAATACCCCCTCTTCTCCAGCCCTGATGCTCGGCCGCTCTGGCACACCCTGCGGGAACCCAGGAACCTCTGAGACAAGGTGGGAGGAGGGGGCTAAACCAGGGCAAAGGTCTGGTTCTCAGTCAACGTCTCCCTGGAATTGCAGCCCAGATTCTAGAATTCTAGGCTCCATGCCAGAGGGAGAGATGGACACAGGGGTTCAGAGGACTGGAGCAAGTGGTCAATCCCAGCAAGATTGAATGGGAGCCCTCTGTGCCCTGGACCAATTTCATCTATCCACGACAAGTACCTAAACATCTCACCTGGCATTCAGCAGGCAGCCGGCCCGACACGGAGGGAAGAAATCTAGTTATTTTGTACTAAAAATCATGATCAATAGTTCCCTCTACTCCCATGTCCACAATAACACAGTGCAGGAGACGGGGAAAACAGCAACAGGAAATACAGGGCAGATAATGCACTTCATAGCAAAATTAATAGACAAATGACACATCAATAAGGGATGTTATTGGAGATAATGCCAGTTTGCACTAAGGGTCAAATAAACTTGACCTTTATTGTCCCCTCTGGGTCAAGGAGAGTCTGCAGGGGGCGGTGGTGCATTCTAGAGCTTCATGAAGACCGTCTGCCCCCTTCCCCCGCCTGCCACAGTGCGCCACTTAACACGGGCTCTAGAAGGGAGAGGAGCCTCCGGAGCCACAGCAGCATCCTCATTGGCACGTGGATGGCGTGAGAGAGGAAGGGAGGCCAGGGCTGCAGCCAGCAGAACTCAAGGTGCTCAGATTGTGGAAGGGATGTGGCAGAGGGGACACCTGGCTGATGATTAATGGAGGTGCTTTGGAGGGACAGGGACATTCCACAGCTGAGAAATGTGCGTGTGCAAGCTGCATGCTTGGGGTTCAAGAGGCTGGGCCAGTCGGGGGGTGTGGGGGATGGCATGCAAGGGTTTTAGAAGTGAGAGACAGGCGGCATGCTACTCTGCATGCTTGTTCTGGTCCTCCTATTGTTATTGGTCTTAAAAAGTCCCCTGAAGGGACTCTATGGTCATCTCTCAGGGTCACCCAGCATATATATATATATTTTTTATATAACCTCTTCTGTTCAAAGATAATTCCTGTGTGATCCCAGGGTGGGGATGTGAGGCCAGGAACTCTCATCTGACTGTTACGTGTATGAAAATAGCCATGAACTCCGAAGTTCCTGGGGAAGTTGAGGAGAACAGGGACCTTTTGAGCCAGTTGCCTTGGGATGAAGTGCCATCTTCTGCATCCTTTGCAGTAAGATGAAAGGGTCACTGTGGAGGCCTAGAATGTCTACCTAGGATCGGGCCTGGTGGGAACAGAGCTGTGCTTGGGAGAGGGGTCCTAAATGTCTCCCTTCCTTCCCTGCCTCTCTCTCTCTCCTCCCTTCTCAATCTTCCTGTGCTCTTCCAGACTTTCCAGTGGTCAACCAATTAAAGATGAAAGAAATGGAAACCAAGGGAGGGTCTTGTAGTGTCTTCTGGGATTTAAGCAACAAACACAAACCCTTGAGGATCTAAAATCCTGACCTTGGACCGTCCCCTAGCTCAGGCAGTGTCACCAGGGCAGTATCCCCAGACCTAGCCTGGAAGAACAAGCAGGGTGGCCCCCTCCTCTGCCTTGTTTCTAGAACTTCTCAGTGTACCACATGTTTGTAAGTGTGCCCATCTGTCCCCTGGGATACTGGAGCAGGGAGGGCTGTGGGGCCGACTCTGGCATCTGACTCACACGCTGTGCTTGCTGAACTAACTGCAGTGGATAAAGGAAGAGAAGCCACGGTTCCTAAGGACTTGTTTAGAGAATCCATGTTCCTAGTTTTCTCTCTGGTGGCAGATTGCTTTAGAAGCAGTTGTGACAGGAGGATCAGGTGCAGCCAAAGCTGGCTTTGGGTGGGGAGGGATGGCTCACAAGGTGGCGTGCTTTTGAAGCAGCTGCAGGAGAAAGCCAAGAAAACATCTTGGCAAACTTTGCATGCAAGAGTGGGGCACGGCGGGAAGCCCTGAGGACCAGCCAAGGCAGGGTGGCCCTTGGTGTCTACAGAGAGAAAAGGCAGGAAGTGGAGACTGGTGGATGGAGCAGGAGGGGTGTGGAGGAAGGCTGGAGAGGCACGCAGGCATGAACCACACACGTGAGGAAGTCCAAATCAGCCATGCGGGCAAGGGGGGGTGATGCCATACCAATGGGCATGGGGCATCCAGTCCGTCCAGCCCTGGTAACCCCGGCTCCCCTTTCTCTCCTTTAAAACCTCGGTGTCCCTGTTTACAAAACCAACCACGATGATTATTTAGGTCAAGGCTGGCCAGCTCCAACTACGGAGTGGAGAGGCCCAGTCGTCCAACCCAGGCCAGGATGCAGGACCTTTGAGGCAGCTACAAGAAGGACCCCCATCACAGTTGGTTCCCATCTCCCAAATTCAACCTTTACACTCTCCTTGGCTTCAGGGAGAGTTGAGCTTTGAAACAAGTACAACCAGCCCCCTCTCCCTTTACAGACTCACTTGGAGTAAACACAGATGAACTTCAGCGTTAGTGCATAATAATTTTCAGAACTTTCGAATGGACTGTGAAGGCACTTGAGAAGCTCGGCTGATGAATCCTTTCTTATTGGCTTGTTTGGGTAGGCTTCCTGGGGGTGTCTGTCTACTGAGTTTGGTCTGCAGGTTTTAGCAGGGTGGCCGGTGGGCATTGGGAGACTGTATATTAAAAGCCCCTTTCTAGCCATGTTCTGTTCAGTGGGGGCATAGATGGCCCTCAGGAGATGCTAACCTGGGTGTCCTGCATCCTGACCGTAAGGACTCCAGCAGCTTAACTGCTGGCTACAGAGGTGGTCAAAAAGCGAAGAAGGCAAAATGCATGGCTCACAAATGCTATGCTGGCCTCCAAAGCCATCTTGGAGCTAAGAGCTGAGGACTTCTCCAAAGCCCCTTCCCTCTGGGGTCTCTCCATTTCCACATATCAATTGTTCTGCATCTTCAAAGGGACGGGGATTTAGCCAGAATTACTCGCAGCTGTGGTTTTAGGGCCAAACCAACAGCAGGCAGCATTTCACCGGCCTAAGGCCCAGATAGATTCGGGGAGCAGTGTGTAGTCATTCCGTTCTCATCTTAGTTTATTTGCCTTCTTCGTTTCCAGCTTGCAAACCTCAAGGAAACAAACAACAAAAAAACCTAAACAAGGCAAGTGATAAATGAAAACATACCAATGGACAGGGGGCATCTAATCCAGGCGCTCCTTGGTCTCCCTTATCCCCTTTAGGCCCTCTAGAGCCTTTCTTCCCCCTCTCCCCCTGTAAATAATGGTTTAGTCCAAGAAAAAAAATAACATCAAAACTTTAGGATCATTCATGTGTTAAAGTTAGAGACAGAAAAAGAAAAAATTAAAGAGGGGAAAACTAGCTTCTCTCTATCAGAATAGTATTTGAGGACCGTACCCATCCCCACCCCTCTAAGAACCTGAGAAATGGCTAAGACAGGTGTGGAGGGGGCTGGGGAGGAAAGTGGGTCCTGGGGGCTGGGAGCAGTAGGGTTCAGAGGTGGAGGTGAGGGAAATGCAGATGGAAGATACTGGTGGCCAGTTTTGCTAATACTGTGATGAGTGGAAGTGTGGGGTATGGGGAGACCCACTTCCTTCTCTTTGAGGGTCCATTTTGAGGGTACAAAGACTTTGCCCTGACAACTTTTGTGCTAGTTGGTTTTCATCCCTTTGATAGTCTATTAGACGGCAAGGCGATTTTGTTTCGAGCCCTGGCGTATATACGTGTGTACCTGTCTGTGTGTGTGACTACGGCATGTGTGATTGTGTGAAAGTATGGCTGTGCATGTGTGTGTACATACATGAGTGTGCGTGAGTATGTGCTTGGGCATGTGTATGCAAGTGTGCACACGTATGAATGTGTGCTTGTGCGTGTATGTACAAGTAAGTACACATGTGTACCAGAGCTCATAAATGGTTCTCAGCTGGGTCCTTCCATCCTAGGTGTGTCTCCGGCCCATCCTACTGAAGTCATAGGCAGCTGTCTGTATATGGGTGAGTTAGTTCAGCATTCACTTGTTTCTGAAAAGCTTCAGTAAACACTGTCTTTCTAAATTGAACCCTATTTGGCACGTGTCCGGATCACTCCCCATTTAAAGGAGAACTGTGATGAATTCTTGAGATGAATTTGAGTTTGGATTTTCATACGTTGGGTTTCCTTCTAAAAGGGCCAAGCCTGGCCCTGGGGAGTCTTCCTCCTCTACAGAATGCTTCTCCTCCTCTTTAGAAGGCCAATTGCTGAATGCTGCCACAGAGCTACTCCAGGGCCACCAGACCTTGAAGGCAGACAGCACACTGATCAGAGAAAAAGCTTGAAGCCAGATCAGGTTCTGCCTATGAGAAGCAGTATCACTTCAGGAAGTTACTTAACTTCAGTGAGCCTCAAAACTTTGTTGGGAGGCCATTGTGCACATCGAGTCTTAATACTGGCAGATAGTACGTGTTCAGTAAATGAATGATAGCTGCTTCCTAATGATAATAATAATGATCATTGTTTCTTGTTAGTCAGTACAAGGACCTAGGCTGCTACCGCAGATAGGGTCTTGTCATGTCTACTGTGGTCCCGTAGTGGGAGGCTGAGGGCTCGTTAGAGGGAGGCAAAGGATAAGAGTATTTTTGATGGATCTTCGGAAATTATTCAAATTTCTTGATTCCAGAGGTTCCTTGTAATTGGCAATCCATTGTTCTAAGTGAGTTTTGTAAAATGCAAATGCTTGCTTAGAAAACGTGTGTTTAAGAGAAAACATATATATGCACATTAAATGTAATAGTGTTGGCTTGGAGATAAACACACCATTGAGAACGTCATAGCATGAATATTCCCCAAATAGTGGATAAGTGAAAGCACTCACTCTCTATTTGGATGGGGAGCCCCACAGTAAACTTTCTCAGGAATGTGGCCCCTTATTCTCCTAGGATCAAGTCAGTGTAAAAGTGAGCACAGTTTCCTGAGTTCAGGGGGTGGGCAAAGCTCCTGAAGACTGGGGTATCCCAAGTCCCGGATGATTTGCCTGTGAGTACCAGAGGGTCAGCCTGGCCCCAACTTCCAGGATGGGTCACTGCACTGTGGGCATCATGTTCTAGGGGCACAGGAAATGGCACAGGACACTGGGTGTCCTTGGAAGACATTAAAGCAAGTAGCTTTACCTACATTCTCTCTGCCCTCACCCCCGAAGAGTGACACAAAAGAGGTTCTGGCAAAGGGGCACTTCTAGATGGTACAGGGAAAGGGACCGATATAGTCAAGCAGCAGCGGTTTCTTTAAAAAAATACATAAATGTATAAAAATTGATTTTAAAGGACATGAATTGAAGCTGGGGGAGTGGAATGGAAAGGGGGAGGGATATGGGATTATTATTGTATAATATCTATAATATAGAACAATCCAAGGGGAGAAATATTGAAGGAGTGAAGGAAGGAAGAGGCAGGCCCAGGCCAAATAGAGAATAGAGGAAGGAGAGGAAAGGGGGCAAGAAAGGCCTGGGGAAGCAAGACACACACACACACACACACACACACACACACACACGCACACGCACACACAGCCCTGATGGCACATTTCAAGAGAGTGACAGCAGCTTCACTGCGTGCACCCAGACCTTTCAGTTGGCTGGCTTGTGGGCAGCTTCACATTAACACCCAATTTTCATGATGCCCAAATTGCCAAACTCACCCTTTACACTTTGACTTTTTCATCCTAAAAGTGGCTCCTGGGCTAAATTCACAGGGCTGTGAAAGGACAAGAGTGCCCCTAGTGACAAGGACAGAACATTCTTTTCACCAGCATGCGCATCCCCTTGGAAAACTGCCCGTTTGGGGCTCTGGGCCTTGCTCATCACTAGGAGGACCTTCCTCCTTCCACGAACGGGAAAGAGGCTGCAGGCAGGGCACAGAGAAGCACTGTTTCATGATCGTGTCTTGGGTACAGCAGACAACAGGCCTGTGGTGCGCCCACTGGAGCCTCTCTGATTGGTCCCCCTGGTATGATGTGCGGTCAAGTTTGGGGGCCACCCTCCACACCCAGAGGGGGCAGGGGACTTTGAGTAGCTCCAGCTTCATCTTTACCAGCAACAATGAAGCTTCTGACCAGATGGTGGTATAAGCCCTCTGGTCGCTTACCTTGACCAAAGTGTCAATACTCTGAGCTTCCAGGCATCAGAAAAAAACTGTCAATGGCAAAGCCTTGACTCTGCTTGGACTTTTCTTTGTTTTGCAGACTTTATTTCCAAACCCTCACATCTCCCCCCACCAAAGTCCTGTTAGGCTGGTGTTATAAAGAGATCTGAATAAGGAAGCAAGATGTAGGGGAGACTCTTCCAGGACGTTCTGGCATCCTGAGACTCAAATCTCTTGGAGAGAGAGAATAAGCTTTCCCTTGATTCGGAAACATGCTCTTTGGAACAAGCCAGTTGGTTCTTTACGCCATACTTAAAAGAAGTTTGTGCAAGTTCATGCAACTTGACTGTTTTCTGGATAAGTGACATATTGCTAATTTATATACTGGGCAGGGGAAAGCCTGTGAAGGCGTAGAAAGGGGAAGCGGACAAGAAATATTTTGCAACTGATTCCTGGGGCCTTATTGGCTCATTTAATAGCTTTTCGTTCCTAAAGCATCGGAGCCTCTAGCATCCCACCTCCCCTCCGTCTGTGACTAGGGCACTTGCCTGCCCTGCCTCCACTCCTAGAGCAACACGGTCGCCGCTCAGAGGAATGGGTTTGCAGCCCTCAAATGGCTCAGCGCCTCAAGCCAACTGAAAAAATCTTAAGAAATAGGTTTTAAAAGTATTAATTGAATATCATAAAGAAAACCAGAACACTTTAGAAATAAATGAGAAAGGAGGTTAGTATGCCAACGGGAAGGTGGAATGATCAATTTTTTTTTTTTAGTGGCCTAAATTCTTCGATGCCACAGTAATGAAGGTGGGCTTCCCAGCCTGCTTTCACAAGTTGGAAGCAGGTGTGTTTATTCCGGTTTCTAGACTTGGTCTTCCCATGGACAGTCTGGTATGGCAGCTCTGCCTGACCCCTCTTGTTTATAGAATCTATGGGACAAGTTGAGGCGCTTTAGACCAGCTGCCAGAAAGGAGGATTTAGGGATATAGACGTGCTCAATCAATACATCTTCATCGAAGGAACTGGAACTGGTGCTAGATGTAAGCATGCAGTTTTTGTCACTTTCTATTCATGAACAAGGTTATCAGTGTGCAAAGATCAGCTGGGAGGCCTGGGTTTTAGAAGCCACCTGCTCTGCCTCTAACTCTCTGTGGGAATTCAGTACGTTTTATCATTGTTCTGGGCCTGTGTCTCCATCAGTTCTTCCTACTCCTCTTCTACCTCTAAGATCCTTGGCTATTATGACCCACTAGAAGGATTTCTTGGGTCTCTAGGGGGCATGCGTCACATTCCGAGAACCACTGTGATGAAGCAGCAGAGGAGACATTCTAGAAAGGAACCCAAAAGTCATCCCTTGGTCAGATAGAGTTCAATGGTCCCTACTGGGCCCATGCGTGTCATATGTCATGTACATGGAGTGTGTCATATGCCATCATGTGGCTATGGGTGCTGTGGACATTCCATAACTGCGTCCTGATGATGATGGCAGAAACCAAAGGGAGAGCAAGGGGCCTCAGGAGGCACAAATCATTTCATAGTCCTGCTGACTCTTTCCAAGAGAAATAATGGCCGTGAAAGGGTTGGCTGCTTACAATAGCTGTCTGCTTGTTCTCGGAACGGGAATTTATTTTCTCTCTCACCAGTGGCTTGGGATGCCTGGCAAAACGAAGTTTCAGAGGCTAGGACTAGGCAATGATAGATTTAAAAACATCATTTAGGGGCCTATTATCAGGGCACCATAGAGAGAGCTGGGCACGTGACTCCCGTCACTGGATGGTAATGCTAATCTGATGGTCACCATGGGATTTAGTCCCCCCTTGTCATGTGGAAAATACATGCTTTAATTTCAGGCTCAGGCCCCAGGCTCCCTGCATGCCATGGAGTAAGCCCCTTGCTATAAAGCCTTTTAATTTACGATGATTTATCAGGAAAAACCGTATTTGCCATGTTGGGTTAGGAATCCCCAATTGGTCATTCCACCACATAAGGAAGACATTAGTAACCAGAGCCAAAGTGCGAGAGGTCAGACTCACCCGGTTTCCTTTGTCCCCGGGTGGTCCATGTAAACCCTGCAATCAATCAGAGAAATGAAGACACATTAATGAGGAAACACAGGATGGCCATACAGTCCTTCGTCCCAGGTTCATAAAGCTCTTCCCTGATGCCTAATTCATCAGAGGCAGATTTAATTATCTCTATTTTACAGAAGGGGGACAAAGGGGCTCAAGGAACTTGACCTACGGATGAATAATAAGTTATGAGCAAAGCCAAGAACATGGTCCTGGTTTCCTTGCTCCGCAGCCAACATCCTGCCTGTGGCTGCGTTCCTGCGATCACTCAAGCTGAGAAGTGGTGGCTGCAGAGGACACAGTCTGGGCAGAGAGCTCTCCTGGCAGAGGAGGTGTTCACATGGCTCTCCTGCCAGGCTCTTGCTAGGAAAAACGACTGCCAAGCTCCTCAGACCCTCTTTGTGAGGTGCAAGTTGCTCTCCATGTCTTCAGCTAGGGGAGCACAGGCCAAGGCTGGCCGGGGTTGCCAACTCAGCCAGAGCCAAGTCGCCTGGGCAGCCGAGCATGGAACCGGCCAACAGACCTACAACCTTCAAGCGAGTGGGAAACAAAGTTTTGGTTCTCTTGGCAATCAACTTTTCTAACAATGCAATGGGAGCATCTGCTGTGATGGGAAGCCAGTCCCTCAGGAAAGCTGCTCTACCTATGAAGTGTCTCCTTTCATCACAGTGATCTAGGTTTGATTCTGCCCACCCCATCCCACCCCTTGTGGGCAGGGGCTGTGACGCCTTCATCTGTGAGACCCCCACTGCTTTGAATACAGAAGCTTGCAGTGGAAGGGGCTCATGATGTGTTTGCTACATCCCATTGGATGGCCCACACTGCTGAGGACCTGGTCCTCCAAGACAGAGGGGCTATGTGTCCCAGGGTTTGCCTTGAGCAGTGCCCAGCAGGGACATTCTAGCATGTGGACCAGTTGGCTGTTGGCAGCTTCCTCTGTCATAGAGAGGAGAATTCTTGCTTGGCTCTAGATTTTTTTGCTGCAGGCTCTGGGTATTATTTTGACAGTGTTTCTGGCGATGGACCAGGTGGGTGAAGAGTAACCTCCAATCCCATGACTTACAGGAAGCCCAGCTGCTCCCGTTGGTCCTGTCATCCCAGGGTCGCCTTTGCTGCCCTGAAACAGGAGAAAGAAGCCCATGAGCTCTCCCTGACATGGTAACAACCTTCCATCAACAGTTTTCTGTTTTAAACCTGGGACACCTCTCCAGAGCCCTCCAGAAAGCAAGGGCTGAGCAGAGGGTTGGGGTGACTGGTGTGGACTCTGTTCCGGGAGGGGGCTTGGAGGCCCCTCACACTCCCTCCAGCACAGCCTGTTCCCCAAGGTCCTCCAGAAGGACCTGGCGGTGTCCTGGGGGTACTGGCTGGCCAGAGGCAGAAGAAGGGGAGGAAAACAAGGAGAGGAAACAGGCGTGCACATGAAGTCAGGGAGGAAAGCAAGGGAAGAGAGAGAGCTGTGATTTCGTGTCACCCCTCAGAGAAACCATCCTGGTTGGATGAAGGCTCTTGCTCCATCTAGGAGGAATGGATGAGGGCTGAGACTGCTGGGGCTGACGCGGTGACCCTGTGGATCACAGGTGACAGGGCTGAGGACCCGAGGCTGAGGAGGGTCACCGGGCTCCTTGCTCACTGAGTACTCACCCTCTCGCCCTTTGGTCCCGCTGGGCCTGGAACTCCAATTGGTCCTGGAGTACCCTGGGGGAGTTGAAGGGAAGCAGAGGTGAAGGCCCTGACACTGGGGGGAGCCCTGGGAGCCCCGCCCGACGCCTGGAGAGGATCAAGGTCCAGAGGCCCAGTTTTCAGGGTTGGCGAGACCGGGCTCATTCAGGGCAGACATTTGACTGGGCAGTGTTCCTGTTTGGGTTTGGGGGCCTCAGGGATGGAGTGCCTCCCCCTGCCTCAGAGCCAGATTTGAGGAAGGAAACCCTTTCATGTCACAACCAAGCTTGCCAAGGCTGAAAACAGTAGGAAAACGGTTGCTTAGTTTGCTCCCAGAAGCGCTTGGGAGGGAGTTGACAACATCCCAGGGGCGGGGGGCCAGGGGCTGGCACCCCTTTGCTGTCACAGCTCCACATGCAGCAGGAGGGTCTTCATGCCACAGAGACCGATGCAGACGCACACACAGAGGCAGGCTTGGGAGGGTCATTCAGCCACCGTCCACCCCACTGCCCTCATTTTGGGCCCCTGGCCTGGCTTTCAGCCTCTGACCAGACCTTCTCTTTCCACCCCCAGGCCCTATGGACAGGCTAGTTTGGAGAGGAAATTAGTATGCCTCGGATGTCTCCCGACACTCGCCAGGCAGGGAGGTGTGTCATAAGCGCTTGTCACTCAGTGCTGCGGGGGAGTTGGGGCAGCCGGAGCTACGGGAGGAGCTGCGTTGCTTAGAGATGGAGCAGGGCTTGTTGTTGTGTCATTAAACATCTTCCCCAGGTTCCTAATTTGCAGCCCAACTAGATGGAGTCTGCATTACAGAGCTGCCGATTGCTCTGCCTCCGGGTATGTATTTCTTGCTCAGACTTGAGGATGTGGGGCTGGGCTATGACACTTCCTGGTGTTCTAGGTGTAGCTGTGACAGGCAGGACAGGAGCAAGTGGGGAAACGCTGATTTACTTTCCTCCCTCCCCAAAAGAGCAATGATATTCTCGGCACTCCCTCTGCAGCTATGAGGAAAGAAGGAAAGACGTGGGCATCTGTGACAGGGCACGTCAAAAAAGAAAGAGGCCGGATAAGAGTAATGGTTCAGAACAGGGCTCTGGAGTCACCGGCCAGCTCCAAGTCCTGCCTTGAAGGCTTATAAACTCTGAGATATTGGAGCAGTTTCTAGGCCTCTCTGAGATCAGTTTTCCCACCTGTGAAATGGGGGTGATAACAGGAGTGTGTGTCTCTTGAGCTGCTGCCAGGTTAAAATGAATGAATGCATGTCACGTGTTCGGTGCCTAGGAAGTGCCCAATAAATGTTAGGATTGGCAGGGCAGGATTATTTTTCCCATAAAAAGTTTCCTTTATGATTGTGATATCGATTTTATAAAAAAAATAAATGAAACCTCAGGTCCAACGGGACAGGATATATGAATTTGTACTGCTCTCCTCTGTCCAACATGAGCGGAATAAGTATTTGAGAAGAAAGTCTTGGTTTCTCTGATTCCAGCCACAGATCATCCCCCTAGCTCTGACTGGTCACCTGGGAAAGGTGTGCTAGGTGTGAGGAGGATGGAAAGGGAGAGACTGTGGAGGATGAGCAAAGCCATGTTAATGCTTAGAAAATGGATATGTTCTCCATATGTGAGAGTCTATAATTTTAACTCCAGAAATGTGTACTGAGGAGGCCTGAGGAAGGTCTGCTGCCACTGAGCTTTACATCTCCCTCTACCCTGTGTGCATGTCCTTCCCTCCACAAGTGAACCTTGTTAAGTTCTCGTCTTCTCCCAAGTGTCACTCCAGCCAGCTCATTAGAACGTCATCTTCTGGGCAGACCATGCATCTGTGGTCTCAGAAGTGTCCTGCAAGGGCAGAGCTGGGACTCGCTGGCTGGAGGAGGCTGGGCACACATACGGCCCTGGTTATAGCTCCCGGGCAGGGAAGTCCAGCCTCCTGGCCCTTGATGGCCAGTGATCCCAACACAATGGGAAGGGACAGGCTTCAGGTGGGAGTGCCACTGCCCTGAAGACCTCCTGGGGTGCTCTGGGAGGAGGACTTGAAGGTGGAGAGGAGGGATGTTTTTTCTGATGCTTCAGTTGTTTGTCACAAGAAGAAGGGTCAGGTGCTTTCTAGTCATGAGTAGGTGATAGCTGTTTTCTGGAATTAGGGAGAACAGAGAAAAAGGGGACCCAAGTGTTCCTCAGTTTTCTCTGTATGAACCCCTGTTTTGAGTGGGGTGGCTGTGGTGCAACAGGAAGTGAAAGGTGTGGTTGTAACATGCCCACAGAACACTGAGCTGGGACTGGCCTGTGTGCTCCTAAATTCTACACCTACCCTCACCTGGGCATGCTGTCCCCACCCCCCATACACACCAGACTGGTGGCTGCACAGGACGAGGAAGCCCCTGTGGGCAGACAGGAGATGGACAGAGCTCACAGTATGAAGACAACACAGCATGACGGGCACATACAGACACTGTTGTGTTTGGTGGGGATCAGTCATAGCCCAAACCCCCAGGGCTGGGCTCCCAGGCTGAATTCAGCATTCATTCAGAAACAGAGTCTGTGCTACTGGAGTGTAACTCCCACTCCACATTCAGCAGTCTGGAAATTCAGAGTTGAGGCCCCAAATTTGGGTGCATACTATAAGCAGGAGGATTCAGACGGAGGCCAGACATCTTTGGTCAAGAGGCCAGATTAAGCACTGCTGAACTGAGCGTAGATGGTACCTTTCTGGCATCAGTGGTGGGATAAGGCACAACTCATTGGGAAAACGAGGCCACAGTGGGAAAGACAAGAGGAATCACAGGCCAGGGGTGGGGTGGGGTGGGGCAAAGGGTAATGGAGAAGTGACACTCACCGGTGGCCCAGGCCTGCCGTCCAAACCTGAAGCTCCCTGGACGAAGGGAATAGTTTGACCAAAAGGAGGGGAAGGGAGGAACGGGAGGGAGAAAAAGGGACCAGGGAGGGGAGAGGTGAGTGAAGCAGTGACTCTGGACAGACATAAATGCTGGTAATCAAACAAAACGGGAGAAGTAAGCTTGGGAGGACAGGTAATGGTATTCACATGAAAACCAACAAAAACATGGAGACACTGAATGCAGTGTGGCCGGCTGCTGAGCAGGCTGGATGGAGATCAGTGCACATGCTGTTCCGATCCTCTGTGCCCCCTGCACCCCTTTCTCCTTTTACCCCATCTCATAAGTCCTTCTCCCAAGGGGTTGCAGTGCTCAGGGGAAACAGACACAAAGTGAATTCATGGAGAGATGTCTGGAACTCGAGCTAGTGAATCCTTCCCAGGACCAGTACCACTGCGTAGGGACAAGCCTTTGTGAAGGGTGGGGCCCTGGTGAGGGTGATCTTCTCAGCCTATTTTGCATACTTGTTAAGAGTAGGCCACACTGGGGCGTGGGGGGGGGACCCTAAGAGGCTAAGCATTGAGTTTCAGCACCCGGCTTTGAAATCTGGGAAAATACTGGCCTGCTTCTACTTCTGCTGGGTGAGAGGAGTTGGCCCTTAAATGGTAATACTAATATGCCTGACATTTCTCTGGACCGTCACAGTTTGCAAAGCTCAACACAAACTTAATCTGTTCATATTCTCCCCTACAAGGGCTTTTTTATAGAAAAAATGCTTTGGGAGGCAGCTGACTGGGACAGAGGTCTAAGGCCGCATATCCCCTAAAGTAAACTGGCTGGCAGGTGGGATTCTGTTGTGACCCACTTGCTATGCAGCATCCCACAATATATGTGATGGGAATGGGAGCTCTTCCCTAGTGTTGGGCTATAAAGCTGCCCCTGCGACCTACCTAGGAGAACCAGGGGAGGATTATCTAATGATTCCAATGTGATGAGCCAGGGAGAAGGCAGCGGGACACTCTAGCCCAGTAAGGACTGAGTTCTTGAAAACTGCTTTCAACTGAGCCTCAGAAATGAGCCTAGGCCTCAGGATTTTAAAGGTGGGCGAATGCCCCCAGGAAAGGAGGTCAGGGAGCTGCCTCCCTAGTCCTAGGGAAGGGGTATTGGGTAGCAGGATCCTACAGGGCCTCGCTCCTTAGTTTTAGAACCACATCATTCTGGGACGATCTTGACTCATAGCTTAGAGAGCCATGGTTCTCAATCTCAGCTGCAACATGAGAATTTCTGGGGGTGATATAAAATAATATAGATGCCTGTGCCTCACCCCAGCCCAATTCAATCCAAGTCTCCAAGAGTGAGGCCAGGGTAATGGCAAGTTAGACAAACTCCAGGTGACTCCAGTATGCAGCCAGTGTTGAGAACCACTTGTATAGGGCAAATAGGAAGAAATCAATAGGCTATGACTGGAAAAACAGGTCGCTAGTATATGGAATAACATATGGAGGTGAAGCCTAAAAACAGAATTTTAGCTAAATATCCACAAACTTTGTCTATGCAGCATTAACACTGAGTTATCTTGAGAGATCAAGCAGAGGGCATAAACTGGAGGTTGTTATGGCCCTATGTGAGCCATGGACGTATTTTGTATGGTCGACAGCATTGCAAGTAATTTTGATTTCATGTTAGAAAATAGGGAGATTTCACATAAAGTGCCAAATGTCCCACTTCCTTTGAAATATTAGAAGATCCCAAAATCCTGGACCCTCATTCTCCTGAGGCATCAGTCAGCTGAACTGAGAAGGGGCTGCTCTCCTTAAGAAGGACATGTGGTTTCTGGTGTGCTACAGTCCTCACCACCCCCTCCTGTCTCTCTGAAGTCCATGTGAATTGAGATTTATGAATATCTTTGCTCTGTTGTTTCCTCAAGCTAGCAAAAATATTTCTCTGTACCCATATATCTATTAAAAGTAGAACAATTAAAGATAGACAAGGTACTTCGTCTTTCCCCTGACATTTTCTTTGTTGATATTCCGTGTTTGGTGTCTGCGCCATTTGCATTTCAACCCCTGACTGAATTCTCCATGTTTACTAGGACTGTGGGGGCCATGAAGGTGGAAAAGGAGAGATTCGTGGTTGAGTGGGGGCAGGATAGTAAGGAGCACTCAGTTGTTCCAGGAACAGCTTGAGACATGGGAAAATGTCTGCGAAAGTCATCAGTTTTCTGTAGTCTGTCAAGCGAATCAGCTCCTTAAATGTTCCTGCATTTGATGCACTAATGAGGGTGTAGTCATACCTTTTGCTCTTGCTTTTGGGTTGCTGTGATTACATTAACCAGACCTTCAAACTCTGCCAAGCTGGGGTTATTGGGCTTCCCATTGTTCCCCTGCTCTTTATGGTTTCCTGGGGGTGGGAACTGGCCTGGTGCCTGGGACAGAGGAAGCCCCAAGTGGCTGGAAAGAGCCCCTTGTGAGATTGTGGCCTCAAGGAGCAGCCTCTGGGCTAGCCTGGCCACTAACTTCACATGTGACCTCAAGTGACTCACTTTTATCTCTGGGCTCATCAGTAAAATAATCAGATGGATCACTGAGATCCCTTCCAGCTCTTGAAAAACAAACTGAAAGAAGTGCCAACCTCACTGGGGTGTGAGGGAGGATGGAGCCCAGGGTGGTGGGATGTGTTCACCTGGACAAGGTGACCAGGCCATCAGCCCACTGAAGGTTGAGGCAAAAAGATTGGCCCAGCTCAGGCCCCACATCTGGAAAGGTGTTTTGAGCACCCCCTGCCCTGACCTGGGGTCTCTCGCCCTGGGCAGGCTGAGATCAGAGATCTCAGGGAACTGAGATCTAAGTGGCCTTAGCCAGTAGGCACCAGAGAATATGACTATACAAGTTTTTCTGCTGTGGCCAGTGCTTAAGAGCAGTAAGCAAGGGTGTTCCCAAGTCCTCCAAGCATGGCCACCATAAGGGCCAGCTTTTACTGCCTCTGAATCAGGCCCATGTAGGGCCCAAGGCTCTTCCTAAGCCACCTTTGGCTCTCCTGCTGGGTGCTCTTTGGGGTGGCGGGCCCTGTCTTATTCAGCTTTCCATTTGCCCCATACCTTGGCCAGCGTCTGGCCCAGAGGAGAGCTCCGTAAGAGAATTAGAGCCTCTGGTCTTACCTAGGTGAGAAAGCAAACTCACGCGGAGCTCTGGAATGCTCAGAACTTTAGGACCTCGAGTTTTCCCCCGGGGCCCTGTCCAGCACCTTGTCAGGACCACCCGGCTGGGCTCCTCACAACAGTCTTGCTGGGTTCAAGATACTTACGGGTAATCCCAGAGGACCTCGGTCTCCTTTTTCTCCCTGGACACCCTTCTCTCCTGTTGCTCCATCTAGTCCTGCTTCTCCCTAAAGGAAAGGATGATGGGAGAGGTCACAGAAGGGCGTGTCTCAGACAACACGTTCTTGCATTCTGAGGTCCTGGAGATGGGAGTGGGTATAGGGGAGCGGGGAGATAGAGGCAGCTGGCCAATGGGTAGCAGGCTGGGGACTCTAAGAATCCCAAAATTCTTAGCCTGGCTCCGCCCCCGCTAGAATCCCCTGTATCCCTACTGTAACTTTGAGGTCCCCAAAGGGAAAAGAGATGGTGGAGTAGAGACAAACCCGCAGGGCAGTTCCAGGTTAGGCTTTGGCCTAGCTGACTCTTTGCATGGCAGGAAAACTAGGACTCTAGCAGAGGCTGGCTGGCAGATGTCTGAAATGCCACCACTGGAGCTGCAAGTTCCCAAACTAATGGGAGAAGAAACTGCCCAATAGTCCCTTGAAGGCCATTAGAGTAGGAAGCAAGGGCCACTGTCATGCCAGCAGCCTCTAGCCCCTCTTATCTATCTGAAATGCTTTCAGGGGGAGGTTGGCAGGGCCCCAGTCCAGAGTCCAGTGGGCTTGGTTCCCAGAAGGGTTCTCATGCCAGGCCACTCTGTGTCCCACCTATACTTTAGGGGCAGTGAAGTGTCTGGGGCAGTTACATAGGAAAAGGATTCCATCATTTGCTAAGAATTTAAGGTGACATTCTGTAGGCTTAATTGATGGATGGAAAAATTCTAAATCCAAAGCATGCCCAGTGTCAATGATGGATGTTAAAGGGACCATAGGACTTCATTCTGTACCGATCATACCCCATTGGCCGGAGTGTCACATGATTCCGTTTAGGGGAAGGGTCAGCTGGGCCATCCATCTCTGAAGCACTTTTCCTGTTTTCTGCCCTCATGGGAGCGGTCCCCTTCCTCCACCCTCTCACCCAGTACCTGTCACATGACTTCTTCTTACCTTTGGTCCAGGAATGCCTTGGAGCCCCTGCATTAGGAATCAAAGCAGGTGCCTCAGTACTGCATTTCTGGTTAAGTCAAAAAGGTCCTTGTCCACAAGTTGGACCACAGAAGAGCAAGGGTTTGGAGCACAGAGCCCATCCAGGGGGAGTTGAGGGAATACTAAGAGGGGTCATGCTTGGGGTTCCCTGGGTGGGGTCTGAACCAGAGACTGACAGAGAATCTTTCTGTGGCCCCCATGGCAGACCTGAGTCTCATGAAAGGAATTCTCAGAGGGAACACAGCAAAAAGTTGAATAAATTAACATATGCAAAGTGCTTAGAGCAGTCTCTGACACTTAGTAAGTTACAATAAATGTTGGCTATTATCATTACTACTACTACTACTACTACTTCTACCAATGACAGTGGGTGACACTGTGCCACGGGGAACATGAACCCTGCAGAGGCAAGGACCAGCATCTGTTGGTTTAAGATGCTTGGGGTTTAAGATGCAAAAAGGTCCCTTTAAAGCCCTTGTCTTCTCATTGGTAACTATGGAAAGGCCCATCCAGTGGGGCTTATTTTTAATGGGTCACTTTCTATTTGAATCCTGGCCTTCTTGCAGACTGGTTAGCATGAAGAAGGAAGAGGAGAAGCAGGTGTCTGATGGCAAAGGGCAGAGCTTAGTGATGGAGCAACTCTTGCAGGGCAGTGGGACCAGACCCCAGGGCTGCCATGCCCATCGACTGTTGCCAGGAATGTGACGCTCCTTGGCATCACAGAAGTGGTGCCTGTTTAACATGGGAGGGAAAAGGGAGTAGGGAGGGGTTTGTGGATGAGAAAACCCCACCCTGGGAGGAAGAGGTGACAGTGACTTAATGCTGAGGTTGAGCCAGTGACTTATGGGGAGGGGACATTAAAGACCCGACCACAGTGGGCTAAAACACTGACAAGCCCTCTAAACTTACCGGAGGTCCAGGAGGCCCCTCTGGCCCTGGTAGCCCAGGAACCTAGAAACCAAAGAGAGACGGTCAGCCCATCCCTGATACGCTCTAAGTGGTCCTGCCTTCTGACATGGCCCAGGTCTGGCTGGGGACTGCAAAGCCAGCAGACAGAACTGCTTAGCACACAGTCTCCCCAAAGAAGGCTTAGAACACGTGACAAACTCATAACAACTCATTAGCCTTTACAAAGGTGAAGAAACAAAGCTATTGCCAGGAAATGTCCTTGAAACATCTATTCTCCCAGATTTTTTTTTTTTAAACCAGGAAATCTGGCAGCTCTAGGTTTTAGTTTATGCATGGCAGCAGTTGCCTGGAGCTGAACGAGAGCTTTCCTCTCCAGGTGGGGGCATGCGAGCTCCAGCCTACTGCAGTCCCAACCACTCCCTATTATCTTTAACCTGGAACTTTGAGCTCATTTGAGTTTGAGACTCTGGCTCTAAGGAGCAGAGACTGGTTATCTGGAATGGGGGTGGGGGGCTGATATATTGCTGGAGAATATTCCTCAAGTCCCCCCAGGTTCGTAGCAGAGGCTGCTGGTCTGTTTCCCTTGAGGGCAGGTTGAAGTAGGAGAGGTTTGAACTGGAGAGGGAGGATGGGGAACCCATGTCAGTCATCCTTTCTGTGGAGGATGGTGTTCATTGCAGTGTCTGTCTCTGATAAAGATGGAAACCCATTTGTCTATAGTCAGACACCCAAGAGGCAGGAAGGAGGCCTGCCTGCTCCTCTCTGAGCTGGTCACCCCACTTCAGTGTCAGGGCTTTTTCCACCTTCCCAGGGATAGAATCCCCTGGAGTGTGGCCAGGGCAGGGACCCTCTGCCAGGTTACCATAGAGGGAGCCTCTGCACTGGGAAGATAGAGATCTAACATCCCTTGGACCTGTGGACATTTTAGCTCCAAAATACAGCCTCTTTTCAGGGAACTCAATCTTTGGAAACTCTAAAGAAAATATAAATTACTGCTTTTTCTCCTTATTATAAATAACTAATTCATGTATGCTGCTTGTGGTAGTGGTCATATAAAGCTATGCATGTATTAAAATTCACAGAAGTGTACACACTCCCCCAAAAGTCAATTTTACTATATAATAGTTAAAAAAATTAAAGTAATACAGACCATTAAAATAGTTTATAAATTAAAAAGAATTGGAAGAAGGAAAAGGAATAAATATCTTAGTACTGCTAATATTTGCTTTATTTCCTTCCACTCTTTTTTGAGGCATAAAATGTACTTGAATATATGTGCATGCTTATGATATTATGTATCATATTACATTATATATGATATACTATGTATTATGTATTATTACATATTATATATGTTATATTACATTACACATATTTTTAGTAGTTTCAGGTATAACTATATTATATTATATATAATTATATATATATAATTTGATGCTCTGCTCTTTTTCAATTAATACAAAGCCCATTCCCCGTTTTCCGTATGTTGCCCACAAGTCTCCTTTTAATGTCAATGTGATATTCATTGAGTGACTACCCAGCCAGGGCTTGTAGCAGTGCTTGGCACAAGGAACGCTCTCCAACATGGGGACTATTACTACCATCAGTATTATTACCATAAGTTATTTAATGATTTCCTTCTTGTTAGCAATGTAGGCTGTTTCCAATTTTTACTTTAAATACGTCTGGAAGGAATATTTTTGGTTATGATGCTTTTCCTGAATTTGGGAGCATTTCTTTAGGAGGCTATCCATCTCCAAATAAGTAACATACATATATAATCAAATCTGTTTCACTAAATGCAGACAGGGTTCGGTGATGCTGAAGATGACAGGAGCCGGGGGACTTCTCTGGAGACTGAGAAGGCTTGGTGGTCTCTCCCTTTGCTCTGTGGTGGTGTCTGGGTGGCCCGGGTTCTTCTACTAAACAGTCTCTCCCACCTGTATCCTTGACCTCCGCTGCTTTCCTGGCTCTTTCCTCTGAACATACAAATACACCCATTCTCTCCCATCTTGTGAGAACCTGGCCTCCATTGTAACTGCCTCTCACTCCACTGTCCTCTCCTCTTTCCGTCACCACACTTCTCAAAAGAATAAGACCTCTCTCTGAAAAGCCTATCTCTGGAGCATCTAGGCAAACTCTTACAATGTCTTCAAGATCCAGCTCAAATGACCCATCTTCTGGCATGCTCACCTGACTCCCTGAGCTGCTACCATTCTAGTGTCCACTACCGGGGACTATTTGCTGCACAGGGACAGTTCTGTTTATTTTCCTGTCTCCAGGCTCTAGCACTGAGAATGAAACATGGCGGGTGCTTGGGGAATGCTGTCGAGGAACTTGATTAATGGGGAAACTGTGGAGCAGACCGGGGGCTCCACGGCCGACTACTGTGGTGCTCAGTGAACAGTCAGTGTATTGCCCCATCCCTGAGTCAGGCAGTTGCAAGTTTCATTCTAGAGCACAGAAATGCTGTGCACACTGGAGAGACCGTGGTGTGCCGAGGTCCCCGTTAAATACTCCCCTGCTCCCCACCCCCACCCCCCGACACAAAAGGCAGAGCAGGCACCACTTACCTCCACTCCTGGGTCACCTTTCTCCCCGGGTTCTCCTTTTTCTCCCTGTGGGCATAAAACACCATGGAGTGGATGCCAAAACTTTGGGGAGCCTGGGACAGACATACTCTTAATTCTCTGACAATCCAGATCAGGACTAGACTAGGCCTAGGTGTCGGCAAGGAATGCCTTGGAGGCTGTGGCGGTGGTCAGCCTGAAGGACGAAGATGGGGCAGGCAGCCTGTGATCACTGCCTTTAAGAATCTGAGGTTCCAGCATGTGGAGGAGAGGCTGATATTATGTATGGGTCCTGCGGGGCACAGGCCCCAGGGTGGACCTGTGACTTGTTTGGAACCAATAGAATACGGCATAGATCAAAGGTGATGGGATGTCACAAGGCGATTGTTACAAGCTTATGGTACAAATGATCGCATACATATGGTATACAAATGATGACGTATGACAGGTTTATGTTACAAATACGTTCCACACAGAGCTCTGTCTTGCTAGCATAGCTGAGAGACTCCTGCTGGCCTTGGCCTTGAAGAAACATGCTGCTCGAATGTGAACTGCCCACTGTGCAGAAAGCCGTGTGGCAGGGAACTGCAGGCAGCCTCTAGGAGCTGAGGGACTCAGTCCTACCCCAACAGCAGCAAGTTTGGAAGAGGACCCCAGTTCTAGATGAGAATGCAGCCAGCCGACACCCTGACTACAACCTTGTGAGATCCTGGGCAGAGGACCCAGCTGAGACATGCCTGGACTCCTGACCCACAGAAACTGTGACATGACAAGAGCATGTTGTTTTAAGCTGCTAAACTTGTGGGCGTTTCTTAAGCAGCTACAGAAAATGAATATGGCTCCAGAGGCAGAGCCAGGGCCCATGGGGAGATGTTGACGAGGGAGCTTGCACACCACATCCAGGAGCACTCCCTCCAGCTTGAAGCTGCCCCACAAAGGAGGGGACACGTCGGGAGGCAGTGAGCTGCCTCCTGTTCTAGCTGAGTGAGGCAGCCACAGTTGGTGGCTGCAAGGGATTCCTGCACTGGGTCAGAGATGGGACTGGTTGACCTCTGAGGTTCTCCCCATTCCCACTCTTAAGAGGAGAATTCTGAGTCCAAGATCCTAGCACTTTTGAAATACATTGGCGCCTGAAGACAGAGGCCTCCAATCTGTGGACTGAGGGAACTGGAACCCACTCAGAAAGTAGCTGCTCATCAAGAGGACCCCTCCTCAGGCCTGGCAGGCAGTCTGGGGTTAGTGCAGCCTCATCGCAGTGCCAGGCACCCGCTAGGTTGCTGACTGCAGTGAGGGGCACCCCTGCTCACGTGCCCTCGCCTGCCTGCAGCTGCCTGCTGACAACCTGGATACCCAGACCTCTCGCCTTACTGTAAATCCCGGGAGCCCAATAGGGCCAGGCAATCCTGTCGCTCCGGGTCTCCCTTGGCCACCTGGTTCTCCTTTCTCCCCAGTTGGGCCATCTAGACCCTAAGGACCGACAAAGATCTCTGTTAGTCAAGCACAAGGTTGTTACACTGAGTGTCCGTGACCAAATGTGGCATGCACGCATGGCTCCCTCCAAAGGCAGGTGTCTAGGATGGTGACCATTTCACAGACAGAAAGCACTAAGGCCCAGAGAAGGCTCCAAAGTCAAGGCAGTAGCCTAGCTGGAGTGGGCTAAGACTCTTTTTTTGTACAAGCAAACTCTCCTGGGTAGAGAGCTTCTGTACGCTTTCCCAAGAGGCAGCTGTAGACTTATGACTTCATCTCTTTCCCAACAACCCAGCAAGGTATCCAGGGAAGGCATTAGTACACTCATTTTAGAGATGAGGGAACTGAGGCTCTGCCAGGCTCAGCGACTTTCCTGAGGACACAGACAGGAGATGCCAGAACAGGACCCAGATCTCTTGAGCTGGGAAACTGGCCTTCATAAAGCAAATGGCTTGAAGGGAAATCAACTCCTGCCCCCAACTCCTGGCTCCAGGTCTGCAGTCCAGGCTGCAGCTGGCATGGGGCAGGGCCAGCATCATGCCGGGGGTGGGGCAGAAGGGCAAAGTCAGGTCCAGCCAGCCCTGGCACTCACCGGCGGGCCTGCCTGCCCTGTCTCCCCTTTCTCCCCCTTCTCTCCCAGGCTCCCCGGGTGTCCATCTTCTCCCTTTATTCCTGCAGGCCCAGGCTTTCCTGGGGGGCCTTGGGGACCAGGGGGGCCCATGTCTCCTGGTTTGCCTCGTGGTCCCTTTAGAAAATACCAACAACACTTATTAGATACACTAGTGGAGAAAACAGGGGAGAGAACTTGAAAGAATGGGTGGCCTAAAGGACTTTTTGGTGTTGCGTTGGACCGGGCAGAGAGCCTGTCCAACTCCCTGTGGGAATCTGAGGGGGCCTCAGCCACCAGCCCCAGCCCATCCCAATGTGGGTCTGCTGGCTTCTCTGGGGCCAGCAGTGTTGGGGCTCAGCAGGGCTTCTGCAGGGTGGGTTTTCCCTCCCCTCCTCTACCCTCCCCTCCCTTCCCCTCCCTTTCTCCTTTCTCCACCCCCAAGGTGCACCCCTGGGCTTCTTCCAGAGCCTCTCCCCTCTCACCCATCAGGGCAAGGACCATCTTCAGTGGTTTGTCTGGGAATGTCTGTTCTTACCTTTTCCCCATCGTGTCCTGGAGGGCCTGGAAGTCCAATCTCCCCCTGTAGCCAGAACAACTAAAGGTCACTCACTCTCAGAACAGAGAAGAACGATAGCTGTCATTTATGCAGCACTTCCTCGGTGCCAGGAGTCCTCAGGAGGTATGTACTGTCTCTGCTTTATGGATGAGGACCCTGAGCTGTGTGCCTAAGGCCCGCGGTTAGTGAAGAGTGGAGCCAGGATCTGAGCTCCAGCAATCTGGCTCTGCAGTTCAAGTTTTAGCTCCCACCTTGCACCACTGCTGCCCCTGAGGGCTCTGGACACTTGCTCCATGGTGCCAGGGGTGGGGTCCCCAACCCAGCCCAGCTCTCCTGTCCTGACTGCCCCACCTCCAAGAGCTCCTTTCATCTTCACATCCACCCAAGCCCCTTCTTTAGGTCAGGGAGGTTGGATGAAGGAGGTGTGGCCACTGTCTTTGAGGCCAGGTAACAAGCAGCTGCACCACCAAGGCAAAATGATGTAGGTGCTATGAGAGGAACAGAGAGGAAAGGGCAGTGAATCCTGCTTGATAGATCAGGGGAGGCTTCAAGGAGGAGGGGGCCTTTGAGTTGGGCTTGAAATATGAAGACTTTGAAAGGTAGGGAAGAGGGGAAGGGACTTCAAGGCAGCAGGCTTCATGAGCAGAGGGCAGAGGGGTGAAAATGCACAGCCTTCTAAGAAAAATCAGGGCTTGGGGGCAGGGTATGAAAGGGAGCCAAAGCAGGGAATGTGGAGGGGGAAGGCTGGGGAGGGGTTTAAGCGCTACGTTCCCTGATGGTGGTTGGGGTCCCTGCTGTGGGTCTGGTGGGGCAGGCTCCACCACATCAGAGGGGCCTGCGAGTTACAGGAGCCCAAGACAGGAAGCGAGGGGCAGGAGGAGTGACGGCGGCTGTAATGTGGGCGGGCAGGGCCCATGGGGCCGTGGTGCCTTGGGAAGAATTACAGGCCAGAGTGAGGTGGTGGCTCTGGGCAGAGGAGAGGGTCACAGGATGAGGGGTGGCCCTCACTCGGAGACACACACAGTGTCTCTTCAGGGTCTGCATCCTCCTGTCAAGATAAGTCTTACCTTCTGGCCTGGGATCCCTGGAGTTCCAGGTGGGCCGATTTGCCCCGGAAGACCAGGGGGTCCCTAGGAAAGAAAAGAAAGACTCAAGGAAGAACTTTCTGACCGAGGAAGGGTGGCCTGTCACCAGAGGGGTGTATATAGGGGCTCGATTATAGAGATCGGTCATTTCAAACATTTCGTCAGTGGCGGGAACACTTTTCTGCAAAGGGACTAACACGGGGACTCCACAATGTAAAGTAGATACGCACTGAGTGGGTTTGGGTGAGAGGGGGTGATGGGGATCCTAGAGCCATGCCCACTAGCCCCCCTCCTCTTTCCTCTAAGGCACCACTGAGGGCTCCTGGGCTCCAAGAAGACCAACCTGACATTCCCTGACAGTGACTTAAAAACGTCTCCAGGAAACAACCCAAATGTCAATCAATAGGTGAAGGTCTGCTACATCCATACAATGGAATGCTGCTCAGCAATGAAAACTGAACCAAGGACTGGCACCCACCATGCCATGGACGAAACCCAGACACCCTATGCTGAGCAAAAACAGCCAAATGCAGAGAATTACATACTGTGTGATCGTATTCATAGGAAACTCTAGAGAAGACACATGTAATCTATGGTGACAGAAAGCAGGTCAGTGGTGGCTTGGGGCTGGGGGCGTAGGTGTGGGATTGACTTCTCAGGCCCATGAAGGAACTTTCTGGAGTGATTGGGGGGGGGTGGATACATGGGTATATACATTTGTCAAAACTCAGCAAACTCTACACCTAAAAGGGATACATTTTATTGTATGTAAACTATACCTCAAGGTTGATTTTCAAAGAAAAAAAAAGGGTTTCCAGGAGAGCTTTGCTTTCAAAAGCTATTTTAAATAATATATTTTAATGTTTCCAAATGAGGCTGATTGATTCCAGAATCATGTGGTGAACACCAGTTTCTGGGATTGGGGCATCACATGATGGGTGCTCGATTCTGGGCCTGTGTCATCCCTAAGTGTGTTCTGTGGCACATCGGCCACTAAAATTACTAAGTGAAATGAAGTGCCAGTAGTTTGAGAACTTTGTGATCTCTCCTCTCTTCTCCACCTGGAAGTTCAGCCTGGTGGTAGTGTTTTGACTGCGTGTATTCACAGAAGGCTGTCACTGGTAGGCACACCTGCAGAAGGCAGGCTTGGAATTCACCAGTTTCCTGGTGCAGGTAATGAAACTGATTTCTAGGAAAGAGGGAAATGTGGAGGGTCGCTACTGATTTCTTAGGATTATGCACTTTATCAGCTAAAAGTTGATAAAACGGAGAAACAGAAAAACATCCTCCTCTACACCTCTATTTCCTAGACACAGATGTAATGAGAACCAGCATTTATACTAGGACAAGAGTGTACAGCCGAATCGGTGAAGACCTGCTTCTGCAGACAGCCATGACCCGGGGCAGGGGCAGCTCCTGAGACCCCCCTGCTCAGACTTAGTTCACCCTCTGCCCCAGCACTGCAGGGTCAACCCTAACTCAGGAAGCCCAGCGTCTGCCTTCTGGAGGCAAGATTTCAGTTCTTTCTTCTAGGCTGCCCCTACCCTCGCCCGCCCCCATCCTGGTGCCCAGGGAAAGTGAAGGCGGAGGAAGACTTACGATCAAGGCCAGTGTCCGGATCTCCTAAAAAAGCAACAACGTGCAATCAGATAAAGAGCAAGTCAAGAGCCATCTGCCGGGGCCCCTTGGCCCAGTCAGGGAAAGTAGGGACTGAGCCCCTCCAGGGGGCACAGTGGAGGCAGACCCTCTTGGGCAGGCCCCATGCCTCCCAGCCCCACGCCACCCCCACCTCTCCTAGAGGTTTGTAATCACTCGGCAGAGAACACCCCGCGTCTCAGCGAATGGTGCTCTGAGGCTGTCCTACAACAGACTCAGACAAGCCCTCAAATGGCCTGCAAGCTTTCTTTCACTTCGCCAGAGAGGGAGGAAACGTCTCCTATTATTCCTAGTCGCTGACTGGACCCTCCCTCACTGTTCCCTCTTCTTCCAGAACCTAGATGTCAAGCCTCTGATGCACTGCCCTTTAAACAAACAGACACAGCATAGTGAAACATGGAATCGCTCAAAAAATAATTAGACGGACGATTGTTGGCATTAAAAAAGAATTGCACACCTTGTAAATGGATTCACACACTTAGAAAGTTTCCTTGAAATAAGTGGTTCTCAACCTGGGGCGATTTTGTCCCCCAGGGGACATTTGGCAATGTCTGGAGACACACGTTGGTTGTCCTAACTGGGGGTGGGGTATTATTGGCATCTGGTGGGTGGAGACAAGGCGTGCTGCTGAACATCCTACAGCCCACAGCACAGCCTTCCCCGACAACCCCACAACCCCACAACCAAGGTTATCCAGCCCTAGACGTCAGTAGTGCTGAGAAACCCTGCTTTAAAGGGTGGGATCACAACTTGAAATATGATGAAGTTGACGCAAAAGGGAGATTTGTTCCAGGAATAGAGATGCTACCATGTAAAAGGGGAGTGTGTGTACTGAAGAAATGGGGCCTCAGAACTCCGGGTGGGCCAACACCCCACAGGGTACTAGGATTCTCCAGTGATGGCTCTCGGCCACCCAGAGCCAGAATAATGGGCCAGGTGGGCCTAGATGGAGAGCCAGGCCACCTGGGTGCCAAGTGAAGGGAACTGTTTGCCTGGAGGTTGTAGAGTGGGAGGCCAAAGGATAGCAAACGAGGGGGTGACTCTCCTGGAAGCCCTGTCCCATGGCCTGGCCTCAGGGACATTAATCCAGGTGTCGCAGTGCTCCCTTCTCAGGGCCTTGGTGCAGAGCCCGGAGCCCCATGAGCACCTCCGAATCTCTAGCCTTTGGGCCAGCCCCCACTCACCTGGAGAGCCTCGTTGATGTTTGCATTGTAATCCACCATCTCTCCTTTCCCTGGTTCTCCCTTGGAGCCCTACAAGACAAATGCCATCTCAACTCAGGGCCGGGCCAGCAGCGACCTGAATACAACTACTGACTCCGCCTCTCAAACAGGACCGAGGCCAGCACCGGCTGCACCTGGCTCCACACAGGTGGACCCAGAATGGCAAGAGGCGGAGCCTATCAGGGGAGTCCAAACGCTCTCAGAGGATGCCCCAGGGTTCAACTCCGCATAAGAACGCTAGACTGGACCTCCCTGGAGAAGACTGAGTCCAGTCATGGCTGCAATGCCAGCCCTCCTATCAGGGGCTAGCAGACTTGAGGCCTCCCTCTCAAGACCCCAGGGACAAGCCACTTCCCTCTGTGACCCGAGGGAGGCGAGATGTTGTGCTGTGACTCTGGGTGAGAGATGCACGTACCTTGGGGCCAGCTGGTCCCTGTTCTCCAGCTGCTCCAGGCTCCCCCTGTTGCACAACAAAATTGGAGTGAAACGGAGACAAAGCTGGGTACAAGAGAACCTGCTGTCCTCAGACGGGCCATGCGTTAGGAGCCATGGAGGGGCCGGAGGCTCCTCCTAGCTCAGGTCTTGAGGACGCAGAGCTCCCTGTACACTAAAGTGCAGGCTCCACTCTATCGGGGGCATCTGCCTCGTGTCCTCTCGCCCTCCGAGTTCCCTCCAGCTTTGCACTTACAGATAGTCTTTCTGTCCTGCATTAGGTGTTAGAGACTCCACCTGTGTCTGTCTGGCCACTTCTCCCCAGGCCCCCAAGTCAGCCGCCTCCTTGGGAACAGAGACTAGGCCCTTTGCTTCTCTTGATTTCCATTCTGTTCAGGTGGCAAGGGCTCAGAAAATGTTCACCAATTGCCTGGGTGAATATTTTCCACGAAGAGCCCATGTGGTTCTTTTGGGGGCCCCTCTGCTTGTGAAAGACCCAAACTGCAGGATGAAACATGAGAGGGGTGGGGGTGGAAGGTGGTAGGAATACCCAGCCTCCCCGAGCAGGTGAGAACGATGGGGAATAAATGGAACAGAGGTATAAATGGTGAAAACAAACCACAGTTCCACTTGTTCTGGGATAATATTAACAGTGAGGATAATTTTTAAAAATAAAGTAGAAAATAAAAATTAAGGAAAAATGAACCCTTTAATATAACTGAACTCCCAACCATCCTGCAGTTGACCAGCTGTGGAGCATCTAGCCACTGCCACCTCCAGGTCACCTGCCCTTCTACCTCCTGACCCCACAGCATTTCAGTCATTGTGCACCTGTGAGGCACACAGCAGCACCCACCCAACCCTCCCATGGGGAACAGCTGGAGAGAAGTGGGAGTCTCCCTTTACCAGTGGCTTGGAAGCTAACAAAGCGGGGGCTCTGGCTCACCGCCCAGCCCAAGCGTCCTGTCCCTGGGCAAGCCTTTGCATGACTGCTGTCTCAGTGGTGAAACAGCCTTGTGCCCTGGGGGTCCAGCTGCAGGGATGGCCAAGACTGCTTATCTATGAGCTGGGGCTTGCATTCCCAAGTTGACCCTTATCCTGCAGCTTTCAGGTCTGGGGGCCTCTGTACCTTGTCTCCCTGCCGTCCTGGGGGACCGACCTGGCCATCGACACCAGCTTCTCCCTGGGAAAGGAGAGAGATGAGCTGAGAGCATGCAGGGCAGCTTGGACAGCTAGCTGCTCAAGGGGGCAAAAGACGGTCCCGCTGTTGATGTCCTGAGTATTAAGGGTCTTTGGGCCTCAGTCTCTTTCCTGGCTGGCTTCTACTAACTCGTCCCATTCTGACTCCTACCCGTGCTTGGGTCCAGCCTGGGTCTCACCTCCTCCAAGCAGCCCTCCTATCTACTCCCTTCCTCCTTGGAGTTCTGTACCACTTGCTGGTGTCTACCGCCACCCGCCACCCCACCCCAGCCAGTCCCTCCTTAGTTCTCAATTAACACACATGTGCCCAGTTCTGTCTTGTCCCCCAACTGGGGACTGCCAGCAGCCTCTGGTGGGTCATTTTGGAGCCTAGAGCACTTGCAAAGGCATACCTCATCCTGCCCGGGAGACCGTAGGGAAAGTGAAAGCCCTGTGCCTGTGTGTGTGTGTGTGTGTGTGTATTCCACGAAGCCTAGGACAGGACGGACACGGGAGATAGGAGGAGGCCCATCTCAAAGAAGTCACTTAGTAAATATTGGCCTGGACCTGGAAAGAGGACATGATTTTGGGAACAGTTTTCTAGCTTTCCCTTCTTTTTGTTTCAGGGCGCAGGAATAATAGTGACCAGGATTCTCCAACCCCACATCAAGACCCAAAATGTGCCAGGTTTCCCTGTGGGGTCAGCAGGACAAATTCCAACACGGGATGTCCAGGAGCCCAGGTGACAGGGCTGTCGTTGGCAAAGCTGGTGCTCATCCAGGGGATCTCTGTTCCTGCCACAGTCAGATGAGCACAGGGCATGGGACATGGGGGTGGGGGGAACCCCGAGACCCCTCCTGCCACTTCACCTTGCCTGTCTGTGGGGTTCCTTTGGTTCCCTATATTCCTGCAAACTGTGGGTTTGTTTGTCCTGCTAGATTGTGGGCCAGCCCAGGGCAGGTTCTCTGCACCCCATTGCCCATGCAGGGCCCACCCATAGCAGACCCTCGATAAATGTCAGTGGAATGAATGTGTATTGCTGCCAATCATGTAATTAATCTTTTAAGCTGAGAAAGAGACCCCCTTTTTCCCTGTGCATTAAAATAAACCAAGCAATGCAGGAGGCATCTGCTTTGGGAAACCCAAATCTTACCCCTGCAGTTTCTACCCAGAGCAAGGAAAGCATGGGCAGTCCCATTTGCAGCTGTCCTCACTGCTGCCACCTCCTTTTCCCTGCAGTGTGCCAGCACCAGGCAGAGGCCCAGCAGACCTCTGATCGCTGATCTTCAACCTATTCAGAGCCTGGGTAAGGGGCCTTTCTGGCTGTCCTGAAGCCCTGCAGCCATTGGTTCCTGACTCAGTTACATCATAGCCATTTGAATCAATGGGGCTGTCCAGCTGCCCTGGGAGGACATCTGTCCCGGACGGTCAGTCACTGCTTAGAAGCAGGAGCTCAGATCAGATGACCTTTCCAGAATCCGATGGAAAAAACCACACATCTGGAGCAGAAGACTAGAGAAGGCAAGGTGCCCAGGACACAGAGTCCCCAAGACTGGGCTGAGGATCAAGGCCACAGGGAAACATTTCCCTTGAGCACTGGTCCCAGGGGAAGACTCACCTTTGGCCCTGGGGGTCCAGGGAGCCCTGGAGGGCCGGGCTCCCCTCTGTTTCCTCCAATGGAGTTGCCAGCATCGCCTTTCTCCCCCTGGCGGTGGAAAGCAGAGTTACCAACACTGGGTTCACCTAGCTCTGGAGGGGGGTGGTGGAGCCATCTTTCTCCCCTCACAGTTCAAAGGAGTGAAGGCAGTTGACTGTCCCTCAGTCTCAGCTGAACATGAGGGGTGGGGTGTGGGGTGGGCATTAAGGGCCTGGTCACCAGGTGTGGGCACCAGGAGGGCTGGGGATCAGAGGTCTTCGGAAGCTGGGCCTGGTCTGATCCAGCCATGGGATTTGAGGACAGAATAGAGCTGGCTACCGAAGGAAAATAGGTTTAGAGCTGAAATAAAAGACCCATCAGGACCTGGGGCTACAGCAGCGTTTCTCAAGGTGTGGTCCATGGAACACTCCTTCAGGGGCTTGAAAATATTGAAAATGCAAAAAAAAAAAAAAGGGGGGGGTCTGGTGGCCAAAGAATGTTCGGAAAGGTGGAATGCAATGAAGCTTTTGCAGGTTCCTTCACTGCGGGATGCTTGGCGCTCTGACAGGCTAAGGCGCCCCATGACGCTCTAAGGGGGCCTCTCTTACACAGACTCTCCCACCCTTATTTGACTTCTAGTCTTTTTTAAAATGCACTATCTTATGGAGCTCGTGTACCACTGAGCACATTTGCAGAACTGGTGCAAAGAAATCTGAGCAGGTCATAGTTATTGAATTCTTTAGATTTGGGCATCTTTTGGCCAATCAGGGCCTCCCATGTGGCACCCCAGATCCCCCTCCTCTGAAACAGAATCTAGCTGTGTTTCAGCTGCTTTTCCCCCAATCTGGGAGGGTCACCTTGAATGCTGCGCCCGTGCAAATGTGCAGGGCCAGCAATGTGGGTGGGGATGGACACCAAGGCCTCTACACAGAACCCACCATTCAGAGCGCGTCAATACCCACCTTCTGCCCCAGGAGGCCAAGTAGCCCAGGGGAGCCTGCAGCTCCCTTCTCACCCTGTGGAGGGAATGCAGACAGGGGAGGGTTAGCATCTGCTCCTCCAGGCTGTCGGCGAAGGCCCTACCCTGCCCGTGCTGGGCCCTGGTGCTCCTCTCTCTCCTGCGCCCTTGCCCCCCCCCTCCCCCGCAGGCTGTTTCCTGAAAGACTCCACTTCCTGAAGGAACCCCATCAGACCCCTACTCCTCTATGGGGCCACTTCACACCGGTGACAGGTTGCATCATTGTTCTCCTGTCCCCATGTGGCTGGGCCCTTATCACTCACCCAGGCAGAGAAGCCAAGGGCATGTAGTCCCTTCTGGGGGTCTCCTGGGGAGGGGCGAATAGTTTGGAATGCCAATTGTTGGGGGAAGCTTTTCCTTTTAACTATGCTCTTCTCATGTTCATAATGTCTAGCAATTAGAGGCCCCTGGTCTCCAGGGAGAGCTTTCTGCCCACCCCCTTCCTTGCCTCTAGACAAGACAAGAACCATATAACCAGAACTTCTCTTTGGAGGAATATTTTGAGAAGTTTGCCTTCTATTATGGGTTGAATTGTGTGCCCCCCAAAAAATTTGTATGTAGAAGTCCTATCTCCTAGTATCTCAGAATGTGACCTCATTTGGAAATAGGGTCATCAAGGGTGTAATTAGCCATGTTAGGAGGTCACACTGAAGTATGGTGGGCCCCTAATCCAATATGACTGGTGTTCTTATAAAAAGGGGAAACCTGGACACAGACATGCATACGGGGGGAACACCATGGGAGGCTGAAGGCAGAGACTGGGGTGGTGCTTCTACAAGCCCAGGAACAGCGAGGATGGCAGCAAACCACCAGGAACCCGGAGACAGGTCTGGCGCAGATTATCCTTCACAGCCCACAGAAGGCGCCAGCCCTGCCGATGCCTTCATCTCAGACTTCGGGCCTCCAGACCGCGGGACAAGAAATGTCTGTCGTTTAAGCCACACGGGTGTGGTCCTTTGTGGGGCAACCCTAGCAAACCAACACCCCTCCCTAACCAGCTTCCTCCACTCCTGAAGAACCCTTCTCCCTGGGACAGGAATCACAGAGCCCACCCTCAGAGCCGATGAAGAGGCGCCGCGACTGCGAACGACCCCTCCCCACGTCAGTGGCAGAGCTGGTCTAGCATAGGGGTCTCCTGATGCTCCACCTTTATGCCACCAAGACTTCACTTTGCTTTCACAGAGTGTCCCACATCAGGAGAGCCCCCCCGAGAGCCCCCCGCCAAGTCAGCATGAGACGTTCCACTCTCCATAGCCTGACGGCTGGAGGTTCACGTATGTAATAATGTACACTGAGGGCCCCAAGTCATCATTTGCTCAGAGGTCTCAATGACCTTTCCAGCTGGAGCCACAAAAGAAGTCACACCAAGTCTTTGGGGGTCATCCCCTTGCCACCTGCCCTTGGGTAGAAGTTGAATGACAGAGTGGCCTGAAGCTGGCCAAGGAAGGGGAGGAAGCCGGGTAAAGGCCCAGGTGACAGGAGGGCAGTGAGTCTTGGGGCCCCAGCTGGCCCTGCTGTGCCTGGGCTGTGCCTTAGCCGGGCATCCCCTGAAACAGGCTGAGTCTAAAGAGAAAAGAGGCAGTGCTGTCCTACGGTGGTCCTGGGGGAGTGGGGGTGGAGGAGGGGAGGGCTTTCCTTCCTCCTGCTGTGCTTTCCTCTGGGTAACCCAGTGGCTTTCAAGGAGGGAAGGTGTAGTATATTCTGTAGTACAGATTTCTGAAGTTTTGCCAGGCTATCTCAGCACTCCCCTCTTCCTGGGATGCATGCAGCCATAGCACACTGCAGGCAGCACAGCAGCCATGGGGGTGGGGCAGAGAGTGGGGGACCAGGGGAGGCTGGGATGAAGGGGCACACACTCAAAGACACAATGTCCTACCCTCTGCCCCCTCTTTCCCGGCAAACCTGGGGGCCCTGGCTTCCCTGCTGCTCCTGGGTCTCCCTTTGGGGTAAGAAGAGAAAGTCACTCATAAGAGCATGAGAGGATGGGGAGGGGTGTGATGGACAATGATCATATACCAGTGTTTCCAGAATACTAGTCCCACAAGATGCTCCTCTGAAACAAAGGATGCCCTGGTCAAAAGAGCTTGAAAATGTGTCATAAAATATTACCTTTTTAGAGCTTCCCGATGCACACTTAGCATAGCAATGGCTCTGAGAAGGCCTGCAGCACAGATAGCTGTGTAATATTTTTATCCTCCTATTTCTCAAACATATTTAACCATGTTACATCTTTTAATGAACTAGATGAGAGAGACAGAGTCCTGAAGGTGTAGAGGACCATAGTTACTACCTGCTGGAGCTGGTGTGCAGGCAAATTGTCCAGGCTAGGATTGGGGGGTAGGGTGGGGGTGGGGAGGAGGCATTTGCAGTGCATTCCTGACGGTAAGCTTTCCTCTGCTTGATCAGGTCCCCAGCCCCAGGCCAGCCTCAAGGGGACCAAGGGCAAAACCACAGCAGCCCCTCCCACCTCCACCAGAAACCTGACCTCCATGAAGCCCAGAATGTTCCCTCTGTATCAGTACCTTGGCTCCTGGGGTCCCTGGCTCACCCTGTGTGGGGGAAAAAAAAAAAGACTCGGGTGAAGAAATGAGAAGGAGAGACCTCGTGAGCCAGAGAGCAGGAACAAATGAGCAGAGCTGCTGTGGGGGTGCGTGAAGCATCTGCCCAGCTCAGGGCTTCCCTAGGCCTCAGGCTCCAGGCGAAAGGAGGCCCCCGGGCCAGTCCTTATTCTGTCCCTCGATAATGGGTGTGGCAGGTGTGGGTGTCAGTGAGGCACCCCAGGAGGAGGGACAGGATGGAATGGGAATTTGCTTTCCATACTGTGCTTCCTGTAAGCGGACCTGCTGGCAGAGCCACATTGAGCACTGTGCTGCTGGGGTGTCCCCACCCCATCTGTCTGCCAACCAGATGGGCGATTAAGATGGGGTTCAGGAGAAGGATTTCTGCTGTCCTCCCTGAAGTTTTGCAAGCATGTAGCTGCTGAGTTCCGGGGTGTGAAGGGAAGCGCTGGCTTCCTTGCACATCGGCAGGAGGGTAAGACCTGTAGCTGAGGCTGCTAACCCTTTGCAACTTCCTCGCAAGGCTTCAACGCCAGTTGTTTAAGTTGTGCATCTGGCAAAAGTGTTGCTTTAGGAGAAATGTCTTCCAATCCTGTCTACCCCTTCCTTGGTCCAGTGACCACCCCACTGAGCCTCTGAAGCCCCAGTTCTGCCCTTGTCTCCCCATTTCTCCCGTCCTGCCCCTCAGTGTTGAGCTGCAGCGTTCTGCTGACCTTCTCCCCAGCCATGGAGATGCCAAGAGCCCCCTGGCAGAGACAAGAAAAGGCCTGGAGACTTCCTCCAGTCAGGGGAAGCACGGGAGAGGTGGCCAGCCTCCTAGCCTCCCCTCAGGGAGATGGGAAGGCGGACTGCTCGTTTCTGCCTGCCACCCAGACCCATGAGGAAGGGGGGTTGCTGAGGCCGGCACAGGGAGAGTGGTCCCCAAGAAAGAGGAGCTGCGCAGCACAGCTGGGTTCCCCAGCCTTCCCATCCCCCTGCCCAGCTCTCAGGTCCTCCTGGGGGACACAGTGGGCACCGTGGCAGGATGCCCATGGGTGAGCTAGATGGGGGCACCCCTGGGGTAAAGTGGGGAGACAGCTTCAATGAGATAGGAGAGAAGGAGGAGGTAGGAGGGGAGGTCAAAAAGAAGGGAGCGCCTCGGGGAAGGAAGGGGAGAAGAGAAGACGACTGACGTCACTATGTACAACCCACCCTAAAGTGTGTCAGCAGGGTTCTCCACACAGGAAGCTCTCTGGACCTGTGCCCTCATGGACTGGGGAGCAGCTGGCAGTGTATCCCATTTCCACTTTAGCCCAAGACCATCTACTTTGGAAATGAATAGGCTGCCAAGCACACTGCTTAGTCAATCCCAAGTGGAGGTGATTTTTAGGGGGTCCCCACTCCCCACAGGGGTCTCAGGACTGCACAGAGCTGGGGTTACCTGAGACGCTTTTTAGGACCCAAAGATGCCGAGGAGGAGGCCTGGCCACAGTAGGAGGGCACTGTGAATACAGCTCATGGGACAAACAGGAGCAGCCCTCCCTGGAGAGACAGGTTGGTGCAGCCAGGGGAGAGGGC